GTCTTCGGGGGAGGCGCAGGGAACTTCTCTGCAGGCTGGATGGCTGCCGTGCCTTCTGGGAGGGCCCGCCCCTGCGCACTCCCCCCCTCGCTCGCCGCCGCCCTGCCCCCTTCCGCCTCCGGCCAGCACGAGAAGAGGAGCAGGGGGAGTTGCAAGATTCTGCACGAACGAGATCGGCGCGGAAAGAATGGGTACCATGCTCAACAGCAGTTCCTGTTCATTTTGAACAGGACTCGCTGTCCGCGCCGCCGCGGCCTGTGTACATTTGAGACAGAAGGCCGCCTGCCCAACAGCGGCCGCTGTTGGTTTGGGACAACATTTGTTGTTGGGACAACATTTGTCGTACCCATGTCGGGCGTCCAAAAAGATGAGCGCAGTGAGAGCAATCAGTGCAACCTGAGCCAACCAACACGTGGCCGCCGTGAAATTCAGCAGCGCGAGCGGAGCATCCTCTTGTTCATGACCTTGCCGAAGCAGGAGATCTGCAAGTGCAGGGTGATGCGAGGACCGTGACAGTGCGCGGGAGCGACATCGAGCATATTTCGATACACGGGGTGATCGGCACGTGAGCTGATTTGGTCGTTGGAGGCGGACTTGTAGGGTGATGTGGTACTCTTAAAATGAAAGACTCGAATAGCTCAGACCTCTGTAGCTCAGACCTCTGTAGCTCATTTCAGCTAAATGTAAGACTCGAGTTTGCCAGAACTCGAGATTGCCGTTTTTTTCATTGTCCCACCATGAGTTTTGACGGTGGAGTTTTCGAGCAGCGTGTGCAGCGCAGGGTCAGGTCGAATTTCTGACGTGGTCCCGCCATTTATCTGACGGTCCCGTCAGGCAAAATCGCGCGTTTTACATTCGAGTTCTGCGCTTCCTTGGTCATTTTCACAGCCATCGCGATGCCCAGCCCAGCTGGCAGAAGCCATTATGTTCAAGAGTTTTACGCCATTCCGTCGACCCCGACGAGGAAATAAGTCTGCAAACGAGGACTCTGCAGTGGACCGTTTGATGCCCCTGAGGGATTTTGGGGGTTTCTTGGAAGCCTGTTGGTGCCTCTTCTGGGGTCTCTCTGGCGCCCGCTGGCGGTCTCGGGGGTCCTCCTCTAGGGGCGGAGGGCTCGACATGCCACTTCAACGTGCCCCCCTTGGGTCCCTCTTGGGCCATCTCGGGCGCCTCCTGGGCCGTCTTGGGACCCTCTTGGGCCGTCTTGTGAGCTTCCTGGGCCGTCTTGGAGCGATTTGTGGGGCCTCTTTGGGCCTTCGTGGACAATGTTGGCACCAGAAGCGCCATTATGCTTCTCTAAGGGACTTGCGGCAAACGTTGCTTCTTGGGGCCCTTTCCTGGGGTCCTCTTGGATCTCTCTTGGAGCGTTTCGGAGCCCTCTAGGGCTGTCTTGGGGCCATGGTTGGTGTGTTTGAGGTCTCCTCGGCGTCTTTGAGCCCAGCTTCAGCCGGCTTGAAGAGCGACTTGGCCATCCTGGAGGCTCGGAGGCTTCCGGACTGCGTTGGCGAGCTCGCAAGCCCCACAAGTCCCCCCCGCCCCCCCCCCCCTGAAATGCGATCTCGGACCATGGGGGAGGGGACAGGGGGAGGAGGACAGCCAAACGTCTGTCACGCCCCGTTACCCCTGGCAAGCGGGAGTCCAGTTTGTAGAATATCGTTGTGCTTGTATGTGTATGCAACTATATATACATCTTTCTCTGTCTCTCCCTCTCTGTGTTTGTTTTTGCTCTCTCCTCTCCTTTCTTTTCTGTTTTTCTCTCTCTATATATGTCCTTCCCCTATGCTCGAGCCCTCTGTTCCTCCCTATTTTTCCTCCATCCTGCGATGAGTCCGACGCCTCCCAGAAAGGTACTGTGGTTCTGCTGCTGCAGATCAAGTTTCCTCAGCATGGAGGCACATACTTTCTGATAGCCAACACCTCCAAGGTTACTGTTTGTTTTTGTTTCGATCGTTATATGTATGGAAGTGCAGCAAGAGGTGGGCCGTTGCACTAGAGTATGATCGGAGGTTGAGTGGTGAGATTACAGTTGAACCGAGAGGCCCCCCACCAGGACATCGGTTTTAGTTTCTCGTTCGTGTCGTGCGTGCGGGCGAGGGGGCGCTCCGTGGGCGCGCGAGAGGACTGACCCCGCCGTCGCGAAAGCGCTTCAGATGCGGTGGACCGCCCCTCCGCCCCCGGTGGGCGCGCGTTGGCCTGGGGTGTTGTGAGATCGATCGTGAGATTGATAGAGGAATCGATAGTGAGATCGCTAGCTGGATCGATAGTAAGATCGATCACTGAATCCATTGGTATTAAGACTGGCCGTGACGTCCATAGAGGGATCGATCGAGTGAGATCGGAGCGGGGGCGATAGTGACATCACATCGCAGCGCGTCATCGTCATCACGTGCCGTCGCTAACTCGAGGGTGCGTGATCAGCATCGTCACCATCACATCCATCGCATTTGCCAGCAGTTTGACCTTTTCCCGACACCCCCAAACCTTCTCATCACCAGAAGTGTGGTTGTATAGGTACAGGTAAAACATGTTGCACAGGTATGGGACCATGAAGTGGGGCAGCAGGTATGTGCAACATGAATGTGATATCGGAGGTTGGGGGGCGAGTTCGAAGTGAAATGGAGACCCCACCACCGCGAAGTCGGCTCCAGTTTCGTGCTCGTGTCGCGCATGCGAGCGAGGCGACGCTTCGTGGGCGGGCGAGAGGAGTACACCCGCCGTGGCTAGGCCGAAATTGAGCTCAGTGACTCTACGCCCCCCCCGTTGGCTGGCGGTGGCTCGCAGGTGTCCCGCCGGTGTCCCGTGGAATCCCGTGCTGTCCCGTTGCGTCCCGTCGCGCGGTGTCTCGCGGTGTCCAGTGGCGTCCCGTGGCGCGGGTTTCCAGGGTGCCCTGTGGTGTCCCCCGGTGTTCTGCCGGGTGGATTGTGAGGCCGATGGAGAGATCGATGGACAGATCGACAGTGAGATCACTGCGAGGCCGATTCTGTGAAATCCATGCATGGGTGGTGAGATCATTCGATGGAGGGAGATCTGCCAGGCTCTCCCAGCGCAGTCCTCGCCGCGGCGCCCAGGCTCCGGGAGCGGGGCCCTCGCAAAAGGCGTCTCCCGCGGCGCTCCGTGGAGCGGCGCTTCGGGCCCCGGTGCTGCGCCTGCGCGGTATTTCGGCAGGGTTTTTTGGGAACCCCCAAACCTGGTGGTGAGATACCAGGTGGCGACCTGGAATCCCCAAACAGGTCACCGCTGGGTTTGGGGACGCGGGGTCACCACCGGGTTTTGTGACTCCTGGACCCACCAGTGTCCGGGACATCCTCGGAAAACCGCCCGAGTCCCCAAACCGGGTGGTGACAACAAATCGCCCGAGACTCACCGCCAGGTGTTGTCACCACCACGTTTGGGGACTACCAAGTTCTTTGGGGGGGGGTCCGCGCAGGGCGCGTTTTGACCGCATCGATTGCGGTACCCATCGGTCGTTGAAAGCAGGTTTAGATCGGGCTTGTCCCCCTCGACAGGAGGCAAATTCAAGAGCAGGTATAACAAAATGATGTGGGGACGATTCTGAGTATTTTGGGCTATTGTTGAACATTATTTGGGTATTTTCTATCCCTCCAAGATCCGCCTGTAGGGGGACATGCCCGACCTAACGGTAGGCAGGTTTGGATTCCGAGCAGGGCACGTGGACCGTTTCGATTACGGTGCCCATCGGTCGTTGAGAGTAGGTAGTTTTAGATTCCCAGATTCCAATATGCTAGCAGCGCCGTCCTGCTTCAAGGCTGAGTGTCTCCACCTCTTCCTTCCTCCCTTTAGGGGGCGGGCGGAGACCCGATCTACTTTCAGCGCCTTTCTGCTCCATGTTTCTATCTGCTTCTTCCGATCCAGGGGTACATGGAATAGGTCGTCATGGTCATAAGCACCATAGCCAGCATCCTTGCCAGCAGCATCGCAATCAGCACCAGCACAGTTCTCACTACCGTCGCCCCCGATATCAGATCCATCGTGCAGCAGTCTGGGCTGTCGACCATCTGGCGCGCCACTGGTTGGCATTCGATGGCGCAAGACTGCTAAGCAGATGATAGGGCCGACCGTGAGTCCGATAAGGAGATCAATCGATCGGAAGCTGCGGGTGGTATCGACAGATAAAGGAATCGATTGTGAGATCGATGGGGGCGTTCATTGGTGTCCATTGGTGCCTCGTGACTTTCTGTGTTCTTCAAATGTTCTCCTGAAAGAAAGAGACCGCGGGCAAAGTAGTGCCACCTGGCCTCGCTGGTTGCTCAATGTTTTGGAATACTGAAGTTAGTTCGAGTGCGAGATTGATCGAGGGATCGATGGAGAGTGGGGTCTGGTGCGATTCCGATCGTGAGATCGATAGATCGATCGAAGCATAGATAGAGCGTGAGATCGATCGAGGGAATCATAGATAAGTCGATTGTGGTATCGACGGTGGGATCGATAGTAAGACCGATAGTGCTATCTACAGTCAGATCGACCTATAGTTGGACATTGATTCTGGAACCGATAGGGGCACGAGGGTGAGAGCGGTAGTTTGCGAGATTGATATCGAGGTCGTTAGTGGTGTCCCGCCGTGGTGATTCGCGGTCACCCGTAGTCGTGTATGTTCTTCGTATGTTCTTCTGAAGGAACAGGCGCGCGGGCTAATAGTTGCCACCGGGTTCCGCTCGTCGCCCCGAAGTTGCTTGTTTGATGCCCACGCAACATGATCGATGGGCAAACAGATAGCTCTGTACGTTCGTAGCACGTCCTGAAGAAAAAGGGCGTCAGGGGCAAACTGATGTCGCCTAGTTCCGCTGGTTGCCCCGACGATGTTGGTTGAAATAGTCGGTCGGCAATTAGATGAACAAGCATATTGCGGTGCATGTTCGTCGTACGTTCTAAAGGAAAGAGGGCGCGGGTTAACGCATGCCACCTGTTTGCGATGGTGGATGCCATCGAGACACCATCGGTGGTGTTCCGCGGTGCCCAACTGGTATTTGCCGAACCCGATCCGACCCCAATCGCGCACCGAAAGCTGAACTCCCCCCACACCACCTCGCTATCACCCGACGGCTGGTCGCCCAGGTAAGTAGGCATTCGGAATGAGTGTTGACGGAAGTGCGGGCATCATTATAGAATTTTGAGTAATTTGCGCTCGTGGAGTTCAGCCGCACATCACAAGAGCCAGTTTGCCAGCAGGAGCGCCACGAACATGCCAAGTTATTTGTCGACCCCACGGGCCCATAAGACGCTCATGTGAACAGGTTTCCGAAGATCTCTTGTGGCACGAGTTCTTATCGCATGGCGCGTGCATCTACTGTAGGTTTCAGGTGTTCGTTGTAGAGAGGCAGATTGCCAGCCACAATCAAATGCCGCCTCAAGACCAGATGGGACGTCGGCTGGTGCCAGCTCGAAGGAGGAATAGACGGCCCTCTCGCAAGGCGGGTACCCTGCAAGCAGAGCTGGAAGGTCCTAGTGTCCGTTGTCTGCTGCGTGCGCCCTCAGTGCCTGACAGGCCGCTTCCTGCACACATCCTTCGGAAAATTCTCGCCCTTCGGAGTCAGAGGATGCCACGCCACCACCAGAGGGGCACATCCAGCCAGGAGGACTACGATGCCTTCCCGAACTGGGGGCAAGGGATTTCTCGAGCGACGGGGGGGGGCCACATCACCAGGAGGCCTCTCCCTGGTTCCCCGCGCTGGTGGTGGTGGTGGTGGTGGTTTCATCTTTGCTTGTTCCTGTGCCCAATGGTGTGGGGAACTCCAGCTCGGCAGATCAATACCATGATTCTGCGATGCGGTTGCCGTTGCTGGAGTCTGCTGTGCTGCGCTAGCGTGTGGTGGCAGCTACTCTGCTTGATACAGTTTCCATCAGCGGAGTTGCCAGAGTACATGGCGTGCACCACACTTGGCCGACCGTTGACCGTTGGAGATGTGGCTCTTTCTGTCATGCGTTCGCAGTCCGTGGTGGTTGCTGGTCCATCGTGAGTCTGGTGCTGTTGTTGTGCCCGTTGGTGTCATGACTGTTGCGAGCGTGACCGCAAGCAGCGTTGTCGTCACCCATCCTCCTCCTCCTCCTCATCACCATCATTATCATAATTCGCATCCTCATCATCAGCATCGTCATCAACGCCATCATCATCATCATCGTCATCATCATCATCAGTATCATCATCATCATCATCATCATCATCATCATCATCATCATCATCGTCAGCATCACCATCATCGCCATCATCATCATCATCATCATCCTCCTCATCATCATCATCATCAGCATCATCATCACCATCATCATCAGCATCATCGTCGTCATCATCACCACTGCCACCTTGGCTGCCATATCTGCTCAGGCGCGCAGAGTACGTCTACAAGAAAGCTGGCGTCACGCCCCGGCCCTCCTCCGTGTATCCGGGGAGCCTCGGGAGGATGCCCGCTCCGTGAGCGCTCGGACTGACGGCGGAAGCGCAGGAAGAGGAGGAGGAGGAGGAGGAGGAGGAGGAGGAGGGAGGAGGAGGAGGAGGAGGAGGAGGAGGAGGAGGGAGGAGGAGGAGGAGGAGGGAGGGGAGGAGGGGAGGAGGAGGAGGGAGGCGGAGGAGGAGGAGGAGGAGGAGGAGGAGGAGGAGGAGAGGGGGATGGTGAGGAGGAGGAGAAGAGGAAAAGGAAGGAGGAGGAGGGGGAGGAGGGGGAGGAGGGGAGGAGGAGGAGAGAGGAGAGGAGGAGGGGGAGGAGGAGGGGAGGAGGAGGAGGAGGAGGAGGAGGAGGAGGAGGGATCGTCTCGGATGTAACCTTAGGCCGCGGATCAGGCTAACTCACCTGACCGATGTGAAAGACCTGCCGCGCGGCCTAAAGTGGGGGTCGGCGGACAGCGACGATACTGAGGTGCCTAGTGGGGAGCACCGATCGATACTCCACCTCGCGATCGCATTCGCTGGCCGCCGCCACCTTCTCACACATGCCCACGTGCGATCCTGTCGAATCAGGGCTCCTACAGGGTGGCATCCCAGGTCGGGGAAGCGAACTTGCCGCGGCAGTGGTCCGCATTCTGATGAGCCTTGGGCCGTGCACTGCCCAGCTGTTCCCCTCAGGGGAGCGGATGGGCCCCAAATGGGTCCGCGCGCCTCCCTGCCGCTGAATTGAGGCGTGTGTGTTCGCAGGGGCGTGCCATGCCAAAGCATGGAGGGTGCACCTGGAGGGGATCAATCCCCAGCATGACGGGCACCCGCATCAGGTGCACCGGGCCTGCCTGCCTGGTGCGAACGCATGCAAGTCCATCGCGCTGCGAGCATCCCTGATTGATATGTTTTTTTTAGCAGGGCTCGATTTGTTAGTAGTATGTGTATCATGCACGGATATATGACAGCAGGGCGGGGCAACCGTCTGCTAACGAAATTGTCCCCCTAGCCTTCCTTAGGAGCAGGCAGACGCTCGAATCTGCTATCCCACTTAATGGGATTATTAGCCTAGCATGTGCTGTCTCCCGCTGCCGGCTGCTACCCGCGCCTCGGGGGTATTCCGTGACACCCAGAGGAGGAAGAGGAGGAGGAGGAGGAGGAGGAGGAGGAGGAGGAGGAGGAGGAGGGAGGAGGAGGGGGAGGGGGAGGAGGAGGAGGAGAGGAGGAGGAGGAGGAGGAGGAGGAGGAGGAGGAAGGAGGAGGAGGAGGAGGAGGAGGAGGAGGAGGAGGAGGAGGAGGAGGAGGAGGGGGAGAGGGAGAGGGGGGAGGAGGAGGAGGAGGAGGAGAGGAGGAGGAGGAGGAGGAGGAGGAGGCGGAGGCGGAGGAGGAGGAGGAGGAGGAGGGGGAGAAGGAGGAGAAGGAGGAGAAGGAGGAGGGGGAGGAGAAGGAGGAGGAGGGGGAGGAGGAGGAGGAGGAGGAAGAGGTGGAGGAGGGGTGTGGCCTCGTGGAGGAGAAGGCGAGGGCTCTCATACAGCGGAGGCCCATGCCAAGAAACGCACACTGCTTGCCTCCAGTGTGCCGTAGGTTCCTTGCGTTTCGATGGTTTTGCCACGGAAGGCGCGACGTTCCAACGCCGAAAATCAATGGACGTCCCAGGTGCACAGGGTTGGGTTCTTGCGAAAGGTCTCTTGTGGACTCGCCTCCGCTATACAGCCTGCAGACCTCGTTTGTGGGGCTGGTCGTCGATCTGGATTCGGTTGGGATAGCGGTTCTCGGAGCTCTCATGCCGTGCCCCGTGGTTCTCTTTCGCACCAGGCGATGTTGCGGCTCACGGAGCCCAGTCCGCCCTCGATGTTTGCTTGCGTACTAGACGGGGATGGTTCATCGCTTGCCGTCGCAGATCGTCCTGGATTTCGTTCTCGCGGCGGACCTCCACACATTTCTTTTGAAAGCCCCCAAGAGCCCAGGTCACCCGCCGATGTTGCCGACGTGTTGCTGATGCATCGGCGATGGGTCGACGATGTTGCGCGATCCTCCGACCCCATTTGCTCGGACCCCATTCGGGAGGTTTACGGTAGGTTCTCCTCGTGTCGATGAGCGGCAACCTCGCCGGCGGCTTTCAACGTTGAGCGCCCCCGGGGACCCCGACTCGGCCGATGTTGAGCGATCTGACGTTTCCGACATGGCCGATCGTCCAAGGTTGAACGATTCCCGAGGCGTCAGGTTTCGACGCCAAATTCGGCACGACACGCACCCGCCGCAACCTCCCGGGCTCCCCGGGCTCGATTGATCACCACCCGCCCGCCAAGCAAAATTCGAAGGCTCAAAGATGGGATGCTGAGGGATGGGGGCCTAAGGATAGGAAGGGATCCAAGGGTAGATTTAAGTTGTGGCACATGATCGAAGAATATAAGATGGCATAAACATAAACTTGTGGAGTTCCGTGCGGATTTCTTGGATCCGCGTTGGATCCCCCTCCCTGGCGCGCCGAGCGTGCCAGGGGTGGCGCCGGAGGCGCCGCCAGGGGGCCCCAGCACCGATCCAAGAAATCCGCGCAGAGTCCGAAAAAGTATATCAATGCATGTTTTGTTTTTAATTCGGACCTCATCCCTGCTGACCCCAGACCACGGACGTCGTCATGTTCTCAGAGCGTCAACCCCATGAGGCCTCGACCAACTCCCTGGGACCGGCTCTTCCTCGTGAGCTGTTTCTTGCCAGACCCGCGCCCCGGTAAGGGCCCCAAAAGGCCCAGAAGAGCTAATATATCCCCGTTATGATGATGTTGAGGTTGGTGATGATGTTGATGATGATGTTGATGGTGATGATGTTGATGATGATGATGATGATGATGATGATGATGATGATGATGATGATGATGGTGATGGTGATGGTGACGATGACGATGATGATGGTGATGATGCTGATGATGGTGATGATAGTCATGATGGTGATGATGGTGATGATGGTGATGTTGACAATGATGATGTGCTGGTGATGGTGATGGTGGTGATGATGCTGGTGATGATGATGTTGGTAATAATGATAGTGATGATGCTGATGCTGATGATGCTGCTGATGATGCTGATGCTGATGCCGATGCTGATGATGATGATGATGATGCTGCTGCTGCTGATGATGATGATGATGATGATGATGATGATGATGATGATGATGATACTGATGATGATGATGCTGCTGATGATGTTGATGATGCTGATGATGCTGATGCTGATGCTGATGCTGATGTTGATGCTGATGCTGATGCTGATGATGATGATGATGATGATGATGATGATGATGATGATGCTGATGCTGCTGCTTCTGATGATAACGATGATGCAGATAATGATGATGATGAGGACCCGTCCCTCAGGACCCCCTCTTTGAGCCACCGCCGATATGCCGCCCTCCGCCCCCGCCCGCGCGTTGCTGTCCCTGCTCGGGGCGGCGTGCGCGCGCCGCGTGGGCGCCAGCGCCTTCCTGGGCGACGCCCGCCGCGCCTCCGCGCGCGGCCCCGGCGCCCCGCCAGGCCAGCCCTCCTCTCGGGGGCCAGGCCAGCTGCCGAGACCCCTCATCCTCCTCCTCCTCCGCCTCCTCCCCTCCTCCTCCTCCTCCTCCTCCTCCTCCTCCTCCTCCGCCCTCCTCCTCCTCCTCCTCCTCCTCTCCTCCTCCTCCTCCTCCTCCCCCCCTCCTCCTCCCTCCTCCTCCTCCTCCTCCTCCTCCTCCTCCTCCCTCCCTCCTCCTCCTCCCCCTCCTCCTCCTCCTCCTCCTCCTCCTCCTCCTCCTCCTCCTCCTCCTCCTTACAGAATCATCGCGGGAAGTGCTGTTCCTTTTTGGGGGGGGCCGCTGGGGGCCCTCACCGGGCCTCTGGGCCGTGGCAACAACGCTCCAGGGCGAAGAAGACGCCGGTCCTGGGGAGAAGGTCCAGCCCTCCTCTCGGGAGCCACGCTCCAAAGGAAGAACAAATAAAAGGCCATGAACATACACTTTTGGCGCTCCGCGCGGGTTTCTTGGCTCCGTGCTGGGCCCCCCCCGGCGGCGCCTCCGGCGCCGCCCCTGGCACGCTCCGCGCGCCATGGAGGGGGGTCCAGCGCAGATGCAAGAGATCCGCGTGGAGCGCATATAGTTAATGCTTATGTTGTTCTTTTTCGATTAGTAGGTCGACCACGCCAGATCAAGAGTACCCTCGTGTCCTGTGGTTCGCGACCCATGCCTTCTACGTTCCCATTGCAGTGTTGCCCTCGGAAGGGTCTTGTGTCCTCTCGCGTGCCCTCTCCAATGAGCCCCAGCTGTATGTTGCATCCTCGTGGGGCCTTCCCTGTCCCCAAAGTTGGTGTCTTGTTTTGTGCCCGACGCGGTCTCGATGCGGACTCGACGCGCGGATTCAGCGCGGACTTGACGCGGATTCGATAGGGATGCGACGAGTCCAGCATGGACTCGACCTGGCTTCGACGCAGATCGGGCCGCGACGAGACAGACAAGGCCCCCCGAGGATGCAGCATGACGCTGCGGGGGGGGGGATGAGCATTCTTGCTCGGGAGGTTCGACATTGGTCAGGAGGGAAAGAAACACACAGACACAATTAATCGTCGATTCCCCAGAACATATGGGAAAATATGGGAAGTGGGGGGGGAGACAGAAACCCAGAACATGTGGGAAAATATGGGGAATCTTTTTCTTTGTGTGTATTTATTTGCGTGTCCTGGGGCCCCTTCACATTGGGGGTGCTCGGGTGCCCCGTCGTCGGCCCTCGGCGGCCCGCCGGCCCGCGGGCTGCGCGCCTGCGGCCGCGCCCGCCTCGCCGAGCGCGCTGCAGCGCGCTGCGGGGGGGGGGGGGGTGGGCGACCGAGCCGACCTCGGCGCGGCGCCGCCGGAGGCCCGCCGGTTTCGGCCCGGAGGAGCAGGCGACGAGGACCACCCAGGGTGAAGTCGGGCCCGTCCCTGCACAGGGGGAAAATTCAAAAGTAGTCAACAAAATAGTCTGGGGACTCTCGTTCGATTATATTTTTGACCATTTTGGAATATGTTTTGAGTATTTCTTATTTTTCGTCGAAAATCCCCGTGTAGGGGGACACGCCCGGCTTAAACCCAGGGTGGGATCGGAGGCCCAGAGTTCGAAGCTGGAGGGTCAGCTTTAGGAGCCTCGGCAGGCGGTGGATGTGGACGTGTTCGGGGCCCTAGGAGCCGAAATGTATCCATATCCACCGCCCGCTGGGGCACCAGGACGTCGGTTCCCAGGCGGTGGATCTGGTTAAATCCCCGCCTCGCATCGAGGTTGACTCCAACATCCATACCTCGAAGAAGAAGAAGAAGAAGAAACGCCATAAACATAAATGTTTATGGCGCTCCGCGCGGATTTCTTGGCTCCGCATTGGGCTCCCCCGGCAGCGCCTCCGGCGCCGCCCCTGGCGCGCTCCGAGCGCCAGGAAGGGAGGTCCAGCGCAGATCCAAGAGATCCGTGCGGAGCGCCAAAAGTTTATGTTTATCAGGCTTTTTCTTTTCCTGATATTGCTGGTGCCCCCCCCGAGGCAAGATCATCCCGATCACGGCGACCCTGGTAAGATTCGGGCTTCCAAGTGGCCGGGATATTACCACCAGCGCCAGGATATAGGAGCATGTTCCCCTGGTGGAGGCAGCCCCCTTGTGTTGGTGCTGGTGCTCGTCTCCAAGCCTCCGATGGGATGTAGGCTTGAGTCGGGTCTGTCCCTCTACAGGAGGAGTATTCAAGAGTAGTCCAACAATAGTCCGAGGACGATGTTCGGAGTATGTCTTGAGTGTGTTAAAATATGTTTGATGTATTTTCTATGTTTTCCTCCTTCTCCTCCACCTCCTCCTCCTCCTCCTCCTCCTCCTCCTCCTCCTCCTCCTCCTCCTCCTCCTCCTCCTCCTCCTCCTCCTCCTCCCCCTCCTCCCCCTCCTCCCCCTCCTCCTCCTCCTCCTCCTCCTCCTCCGCCCAACCTAAACATGGGGGGCGCAGAGGGGGGGATGCCCGACAGGGGCCCCACGGCCCCAGCCCGCCGGGGCGCGTGCGGAGAGCTGCCCTCGGGGGGACCGTGCAGAGCGGGGGGGGGCCCTGCCGAGAGGCGCCCTGCGTGCCCCCGGGGTGCCCTGGGCGACCTGGAGGTCGGGACGTTCCCGTGGTTTTGCGTTGGAGGCCGGGTTTCGATGGGTTTGCCATGGGGCCATGTTGCCACGGTTTTGCCCTCGGGTGTCGACGGTTGCGCCAACTGCCACGGGGACCGCGACGTTCTCCCACACCGAGAAATGCGAGGGACGGCCTGGGGTCTCGGGGTTGGGTTTCCTGTGAGAAGGTCTGTTGTGGACGGGCCCCTGCTGCCTGCTGTAGGCGCAGGGGGGGACGCCCGATAGGGGGCCCGTCGCCGATCTATTCGGCGACGTATCTCAGGAGGGGGAAAAACACACACAGGCACAATGAATCGTCGACTTCCAGGAACATTCAGGAACAGATGGGCAGACGAAAACCCAGGACATATGGGGAACAGATGGGGCCTCCTGGGATCTGTGCCTATCTATTTGGGTGTCCCTGGGCCCCTTCAACATCGCCGATTCCAAGTCGACATTCCCCCCCCTTCTCCTTCTCCTCCTGCTCAGCATGACATCTGCTCCAGGTGCCCTGAGCGACCTGGAGACTGCGAGGAGGAGGAGGAGGAGGAGGAGGAGGAGGAGGAGGAGGAGGAGGAGGAGGAGGAGAGGGAGAGGGAGAGGGAGAGGGAGAGGGAGAGGGAGGAGGAGGAGGAGGAGGAGGAGGAGGAAAAGGAGGAGGAGGGGGAGGAGAAGCCCTGCCAAGTTCAAGGCAGGCCTGCGCAGGCGCTCCGCCTGAGCCCGAGGGAGCCCTGCTGGCGGCGGTCCACCACGCGCTGGGCGACCTCCGCGGCGGGGCCGTGGAGGCTCGCCTGGGCCGCCTCGAGGATCAGAGGAGGAAACGGGACCCCTACAGCTGCCCCTCCTCCTCCTCCTCCTTCTCCTCCTCCTCCTCCTCCTCCTCCTCCTCCTCTCCTTCTCCTCCTCCCCCTCCGCCCTTCCCCCTCCGCTCCCCCTCCTGCCTCCTCCTCCTCCTCTTCCTCTCCTCCTCCTCCTCCTCCTCCTCCTCCTCCTCCTCCCTCCTCCCTCCTCCTCCTCCTCCTCCTCTCCCTCCTCCTCCTCCTCCTCCTCCTCCTCCTCCTCCCTCCTCCTCCTCCCTCCTCCTAATCCTCCTCCCACCTCCCCCTCCCACCCCCTCCCCCTGCCCCCCCTCCCCCCCTCCCCCTCCTCCTCCTCCTCCCCCTCCTTCCCCTTCCTCGCCCTTCCTCCTGGCGCTCTCGTCGCAACCGCTGGATTCGCCTCGAAATCTGGCCCGAATGCACCCCGGGAGAGGTCCTGAAAGTAGCGGCATCCGTACCCTTTGGTCTCCCCAGAGGACGCCCTGAGACCCAGCTACGAGGCCATGCCGAAGAATGCGCACGGTCGGCTGGACCACGCGACAGCGCGGCTCGGGGCTCAGGGAAAGCACGAGCAAGGTGGAGGGCCGGCCGAGTCGAGCAGTATCGACTCCCACGCAGCCTGGGCAGGCCCCAGATCTGTGTCTAGACCTGGGGCCCTCCGGGGCGAAGTAACCAACCCGACCACCCCTTCCCCGTCCTGCTCATCGATCTGGGCGACAGCCGGGGCACGAGACCACATGTAATTTGACCACTTGAAACTCCAGAGGTTATCCAAGAAGGAGATTGGTGGGTCTTGAAGTGGCGGGTGGGGTGTATGAGTGTGCGCGTGTGTGGGAGAGGAGAGACACGGGAAGAGAGAGAGAGAGGGAGATACAGAGAGAAAGAGATATGGATGGTGTGAGATCGTCGGTAGAGAGAGAGGGAGATAAGCAAACAAATCGAAAGACGGATACAGAGAGAGAGAGAGAGGTGCCACGTATGCCTACAGTGACGGTAAACATATATATATATATATATCTCGGAGGTTGGGGGGTGAGATCGAAGTGGAACGGAGAGCCCCCCTACCGGGAAATCGATTTCGGTTTCGTGTTCGTGCGTGCCGTGCGGGCGAGGCGAAGCTGCGTGGGCGGGCGAGAGAAAGTCTCCTGTGGCTGAGGCGCGGCCGGACCAAATGATTCCCTTCCGGGCGGCCGGGGCCCCGCGGTGTCCCGCCGGTGTCCCGCTGGTGTCCCGTGTGGCTGAGGCGCGGCCGGACCAAATGATTCCCTTCCGGGCGGCCGGGGCCCGCGGTGTCCCGCCGGTGTCCCGCGGTGTCCCGCGCGGTGTCCCGCGGTGTCCCGCGGTGTCCCGCCGGTGTCCCGCGGTGTCCCGCGAGGATGATGATGATGATGAGATGATGATGATGATGATGATGATGATGATGATGATGATGATGATGATGATGATGATGAGATGATGATGGTGTCCCGATGAAGATGATGATCATGATGGTGATGATGGTGTCGATGATGATGATAGTGTCCCGTTGATGAGGATGATGATGCTCACGATGATTATGATGACGATGACGATGATGGTGTCCCGATGATGATGGTGATGATGATGATGATGATGATGATTCCGATGATGTTTGTGATGATGGTGTTGATGGAAATGGTGTCCCAGCGATAGTGATGTTGATGATGATGATGTTGATGATGAGTATGGTGTCCCGATGATGATGATGCTGATGATGATGATGGTGATGCTGATGATGGTGATGCTGATGGTGTTCCGGTGATGGTAATAATGATAATGACGATGTTGATGATGATGTTGCTCATGATGATGATGGTGCCCCAATGATGATGTTGTTGATGATGATGATGTCGATGATGATGATGCGATGATCATGATGATGATGGTGTCCCGAGGATGATGACGATGTTGATGATAATGTTGATGATGAGAACGATGGTGATCATGATGGTGTCCCGATTATGATGATGATTATGATGATGCTGCTGATGATGATGACGATGACTGTGTCCCGGTAATGATGATGATGATGATGATGATGATGATGATGATGATGATGATGATGTTGATGGTGATGGTGATGATGATGATGTTGTCCCGATGATGATGCTGACGTTGATGATGCTGTTTATGATGATGATGATGATGACGGTGCCCTCATGATGATGACGATGTTGGTGATGATGTTGATGTTGACGTTGTTGATGATGTTGATGATGATGATGATGACGTTGATTGTGAGAGCGATTATGATATCGATAGTGAGATCGATTTTGAGACCGAATGTGAGATCAATTGTGTGATCGATTGTGAGATCAATTGTGAGATCAATTGTGAGATCGATCGAGTGAGATAGATCGAGTGAGATCGATTGTGAGATCGATCGAGTGAGATCGATCGAGCGAGACCGATACTTAGATCGATACTGAGATCGATAGTGAGATCGATCGAGTGAGACGTTGGTTCCCCCCCCCGAACCTCCTTATCACCCGAAGGGTGGTCGTATAGGTATATAATATATACATATAGATATGCAAGTGCATGCTTATATTTATTTTTTTATCACATGCGTGATAATGTACGGAGAGATGGACAGGACGGCATTGGCATTCACCTATATATACACATATGCATTATATATATATATGTAATACACACATGTACATAAATGGGCAGAGAGAGATATAGAGAGTGAATCGATACTCGTGCAGATAAAGGAAGGAGTGAAGGAGACAGTGGTGCAGATATAGATGTATCAGAAAGAGAGAGAGAGCGTGATAAAAATCGAAAGAGAGAGAGAGAGGGATAGTGAAAGAGAGAGAGAGAGAGAAAGGGAGAACTAGAGAACATGGGAGGCATACGCCCCGCACTGCCACCTCGTCCCCCTCTGCGCGTGTGTAGCTCGCGCCGCTGGGGCGGCGGCGATCGGGCCACCACGGGTGTCATAGGCGATCTGCCAGGCGATGCAATGCCACTGCGCTCCCCGTCAGTCGCGATCCATTCCCCCCCCAACCGCGGGCGTCCCCTCGGCTGGGCAGAGACTTCCATTACCGCCTCGCCTGCTCACAGTGAGGTCGGGCATGTTCCTCTACAGGAGGAACATTCCAACGCAATCAACAGATAATCGTGGGATGATGTTTCGGCTATGTTTAGATTCGCTTGGAGGATACTTTCCTGACATGTGTTTTCGTTTCCCTGCAGACTCCGCCTGTCGGAGGACATGCCCAACCTGAGCCTACAGCCCTGGATTGGCTCCGGCGTTCCCGGGAGCCCTTGCCGCCAGACCCCATGGCGACTCGCGGCTCGCTGGGCCCCTCCGCGCAGCTCTCCCGGGGGTCGACTCCCCGCCCTCCCCGGGCTCGGGAACCGCCCGGACCCGCGGGCACGATGTGGATCCACACCAGCTGCGTCTTGGAGTCTCGGGCTCCCTTCCCCCAGAAAAAAAAAACAGAGGCGCAGCGGACATGGAGCTCTGGACAGGCATCTGGCCCCCAGATTTGCCAGATGTCCATCCTCCTCCCCTGCGCCTCGGCTGTCGGCGCTCCTTCCCAGGAGGTCCAAGACGCGATGGATACGCACATGCCTCTTGCCCGCAGGTCCACACCTAGCAGCCCTCCTCTCCGCCGAGGACCGCCGGAAACCGCCAGAGTTCGCTGGAAACCGCGGGAGACCGTCAGCAGGCCGCCGAGGTCCTGCCAGGGCCTTCCTTGGGCCGCGGGGCGGCGTCTGCGTCCTCCCGCCGCCTGCCTGCGCTATGCCTGCGGCCCAGGATCCTCCTCCTCCTCCTCTCTCCTCCTCCTCCTCCTCCTCCTCCTCCTCCTCCTCCTCCTCCTCCCATCCTCCTCCTCCTCCTCCTCCTCCTCCCTCTCCTCCTCCTCCTCCTCCTCCTCCTCCTCCTCCTCCTCCTCCTCCTCCCTCCTCCCTCCTCCTCCTCCTCTCTCCTCCTCCTTCCTCCTCCTCCTCCCTCCTTTCCTCCTCCTCCTCCTCCTCCTCCTCCTCCTCCTCCTCCTCCTCCTCCTGCTCCTCCACTTCCACCTCTGCTCCTCCTCCTCCTCCTCCTCCTCCTCCTCCCTCCTGTCTCCTCCTCTATCGTCCTCCTCTATCGTCCTCCTGTTCCTCCTCCTCCACCTCCACCTCCTGCTCCTCCTCCTCCTCCCCCTCCTCCTACTCCTTCTCCCCTCCTCCTCTTCCTCCTCCTCCTCCACCTCCTCCTCCCCCTTCTCCTCCTCCTCCTCCTCTCCTCATCCTCCTCCTCCTCCTCCTCCTCCTCCTCCTCCTCCTCCTCCTCCTCCTCCTCCTCCATGCTCTGACCAGGCATGGTGGTGGCGCACCCCGCCGGGGCAGCAGTTTCACGTAAATGCCCAGCCTTCGACGGGGCCGACGAGGGCGGATGCAGATCACTGAGAACGGCGTGCCCGGCGCGGAATGGGGGCGGCGCCATCCCCGTGTGTTTTCCTCGAGCGGTCGCAGTGGCGATGCCGTCCCCATTCCACGAGCTTGGCATCGCTGGGCCATGTTTTTGTTGTTTTCTCGGGGCGGACCCTTGAGGAGCATCCATCCTGGCGCATCCTGCGAAACACAGCGCACGAAACCGGCGAGCATGCACGGGGAAGCGTCGTCCGAGCGATGGCGAGCGAGGGGAGGCACTCCTCCGAGCGGAGGCGAGGTGCGATCCTGCCCGGCGGGCCCAGGCAGGTCCAGGCTGCCGCCCTGGCGGGCTGTGCAGAGGTGGCCTGTGCGGATCCCCGCGGCCCGCCGAGGTTAAGTCGGGCATGTCCCTCTATAGGAGGAAGGTCCAACAATAATCAAACATAGTATGGGGACGTGTTTGAGAACAAATGTTTCGCTATTTTTGAAGAGGTTTCAACGTTTTTGGTGTTTCCTTCCACCTTCCGCCTGTCGGCGGACAGGCCCGACCTAAGCCGAGGTACGCGATGCACCGGCTCTTTGTCAACCGCCACGGCTGGTTCGTGCTCGGCCTGGAGCCGGGCGGCGGGGCCTGGAGCAGCGGGTCGCCGGCGGGCATCCTGCACGACAGGCTGCCAGACCGCGTTCAGGAGCGATTCGGGGCCCACACATGTACACCACCACCACCACCTCCCTCACCCCCTCCCTCTCCCAAGAAAGCGGCGAGGAAGAAGAGGGTAGAGGAGGGAGGAGGGTTCGACGTGGTGGTGGTGGTGTATCCTCTTGGGGCCCGCGAGCCACGCCCCTGGCGTCTCTTTGCGGGAGGGGGCCCGGGGGTCTTCGTCACCGCGCAGGGGGCAGGCCTACACCGCCGCCGTGCCTGGCCAGGGTCCTCTCCTGGGCTCCGCCGCCACTGCGTCTGAGCCCTCCCGCCCGAGGCCGGGAGGGTCTGCGCGGCGTCCTGCGGCCCAGGATGGCCTGGGCCAGGCATGGCGGTGGCTCCGTGTAGAGTTATGACGTTCCAACCTGCAATTGCCTTGACCACCAGAGAGAATTTCGAGCACCCAGAACGTACCAGCACTGGAAGGTCCTCGCGTGTCGGGCCCTGGGAAAACGTTTCGATGCTGTTCGGGGTGCTCGAGGCTCTTTCTGGGATGTGGTCCTGAAGTACGATTGGGGCAGCGTAAGTGTAGGGGCCTCCTGGGGGGTCACCACTCCCGGCCAGGCAGAGGAGGTCCAGGTCAGGGCGCGGCCAGGTGTCCCAGGTCCTTTCGTGGCCCTCTGCCCAGCCAGGGTCGTCCCAGCGGCCTCTCCTGGACCTTCCCCCATGGCCCCCTCGCGGGGGGAGAGGGCGCGCGGCGCAGGAGATCTTCGAGCGTCGTCTCGGAGACCATGGACTCGACTTGAGCGAGGCCTGCCTGGAGGGACCACGTCGTGTCTCTCCTGCCCTGTCGCCTCAGGCTTCTCCCTTCCCCTCCGCCTTGGTTTGGGGCGCTCAGTTCGCTTGCTTGCTTTTCCCCAAGGTCGCCGTACTGGCCGCAGTGATCGAGAATCTGGTGCAAGAAGAGGCCGTCGAACGCCTGCGGCACACCTACAAGCTGCTGAACCGCTCCGTGCACGACCCGGTCAACCTGGAGGAGTCCCACGAGGTGGTTGACATGTACATGGCCGGTTACGTCCTCGGATTCAATTTCAGTGAAGTTGGTTCCGCCGAGGCGCTTAGCAAGCGCAATCGTATTCAGGAGGCGTACCCCACCTGGCCAGAAACGGTGAAGTTCGTCCGTGCCGTGCAGGCGGCGGCCACGCCGCAGGGGGGCGAGCTCGTCTTTGACAACCTTGCAGCCGTGATCGCGGAGGTGGGGGAGCAGTACGGCCGCTGGCAGGACGAGGAGTGCCGCTTGATGAAGAATGACTTGATGAAGCTTGAGGACCGTGGCTCTGGGCGAGTGCGCTTGTCCGAGTTCTACCGCTCCGCGGTGAAGGACGGGAATTGGCAGTTCAGTGAGAGCGTAGATTATTTGCGCGAACTCGGGGCCTTGGACGAGTCAGACCCGCAAAATATGCGCGTGTTGATCCCCAACTATCCAACTGGCTTGCCGCCGACTGCCCCGTGTCATACAGTCACGCGCATGAGCTATGGCTTAAGCTCTAAGCGGTCCGTTCGACGCGGTATGACAGAACATGGTCTCTTCAGAATGCTTTGCACATCCGTGAGGACGTCTTGTAGGCCCTGGGCCACCCTGGGGTCTGCCGAGCGCTCTCCTGTCCGGATTGATCCAGCCCTTTTCGGGAGCTCTTCGTTGCGTGCCTTAGCTGATCTCCCCTTTCCTCCACCCCGATCTGCTTGGCTCGAACTCGAAGGCACAGCCTCATCTGGAGGGTTTCTCCGAAGGGCTTAGGCGACCCGTCCTCCTCCTCTCTCCTCCTCCTCCTCCTCCTCCTCCTCCTCCTCCTCCTCCTCCTCCTCCTCCTCCTCCCTCAAGCCATTTCGGCCTGCAGCTGGCGCGCGCGCGCGCCACGCGAGGGCCGAGGCAGCAGGGCGCGCACCATCGGCGGCGGACGGCTGGGGCTCGCTGTACGTCGGTTCGCGGCTTGAGGGGGGCGGCAGAAGCCGTTGCTAAAGTTCCTGCTGCCCCAGTACATGACTCGGGGCCGCGGCGGCTGGAGTGATGCAGATGACCAAGCGACGTGGGGAGCAGCATGGGGTGCGCCGTGGCGACGCTCAGCATCACTATCAACCTCACGCTCGTCCAGCCGCAAGCCGCCCAACACCAAGGGCAAGAAGATCACGCAGTACCTGGTATGCCCGACTTGTCCAGTGGGTAGTGGCAATTGGGTTTATTGCAACAGGGCAGGCAAACCTGGATGGACCAACTGCAAGACTTGTGGTCACGTGTGGCAGCTACCATCCACGTCATAGATGCCAGCGGGAGGTCAAGCAGCCCCGGGTGCAGCAGCTCAGCCAATGGTGGACCTTCTCAGGAAGCAGTACTTCACGGCCAAGGAGCAAAACGACCAGACCCGCATGGACGAGATCCTCGCAGCCTGCCCCGAGGCAATACCAGCTGAACCAGTCGCAGCACCAGAGCCATCAACAGGACAGAAGCTCCAAGAGGCAGTCGCGGAGCTCAACCGTCTCCAGAAGCACCAAGACAAGCTGGCCAAGCAGCTCAAGCGTGCTACCGAGTACCGCAATGATGTACTCCAGAGGATCAGCACCAACGTGTCCGAGCTGGCCGACGCGAAGAAGCACTTCCAAGAGGCCAAAGCCGATGTCGGAGGAGATGCAGCCGAAGCACAGCCAGCCAAGAAACAGGACGACGCGGAGGAGGAGTTCCCGACCTTGGACGATGAGGAGTTGGCCATGCTGGACAGCAAACAGAAAGAGGAGTATGAGGCAATCCAGAAATAATTCCAGAAGGCCAGGCAATACATCGACGGCAAGAAGACAGCAGTCATCAACGCGAAGAAGGCGCTCGACGCAGCCAAGACCATCAAGACCAAGGCCTGCAAGCGGCGTAAAGGAGAAGACGGAGCTGAAACTAAACCATCTCAGGAACCAGCAGCAGCACCTGGCGAACAGGCAGATGCACCTGCGGCCGATGCTGGACCAGTTCAAACAGACCCAGAGGTGGAGCTCGCCAACCAGTTCGACCTCTCAGATGACGACCAGGTCAAGGCCTACCTCTCGAAGCTGGCCCAGATCAAGAGCAGGACGAAGGTCATGGTCGCTACGCGGCAGGGATCCTAACTACAGCCAGAAGTACGACGATGTTGAAGCCGAGATCGACGGCTTCCTATTATTAGCCTCTGCTGCGAAGGGGGATGAGCCCAGAGTGCCCATGTTTGCTGTCCAGCACGGCAAATCCCCACTCGCAGCAGAGCATCATCGAGGACCAAGCGGGTTCGCCAGGCCGCCGTGCCAGAAGCAGGTCTGGTTTGACGACGACGCTGACTGCATCATCGAGAGTGCGTCTACTCGGGCAGATGATGATAATGGCAGCACGACGTCAGTTTCTTCTCGGGGATCGTCTACTTGTTCAAGCCCGTCGGCAGAGCCAGTCCGTGCAGGTTCGCAAGGTACTGGCATCAAGATCCAGACCGAAGGCAAGAACCAGCAGACCAATTCAGACGATGCGAAGCCCATCGTCGCCATCTTCGCGGCCAACGTTACGCAGTACAACACGGCCGCCAAACTTTTCATCGAGGGCAAGAGCAAGCAGTACGACATCATCGCGCTGAGCGGGCACCACCTACGAGGATCAGCAGCAGAGGTCGGGGCTAGCCGACTCATGCAGTACGGGTGGCGATCTCACGGTACTTGGACGCCAGTGCGGCCATCGCCACGGTCCACGACGGGCACCTTGGGAGGCACATGCATCCTTCGCCGACGTCATCTTGATACGCGAGTACACCTGCCAGATGCGAAGGGCCACAGCATTTTCGCCAGGGATTTTCCAGGGCATCACCATGGTGAAGTGGCAGCTCAAAGGACAGCAGATAGCAGTGATCACGGCCTACCTCACAGCATCCATCGGCTTCACGGGTGGGAATATCCGTAAGATGAAGCACCTGCTTCAGCTGACAAAGAGTCTGGGCAACATACCTTGGATAATTTGTGGAGACTTCAACCATGCACCACAAGAGTTTGAAGCGACGCCTTGGCTAAGACTTCTTGGTGGACCAATTGTGGTACCTCAGCGCGTTAGCTGCACGTGCAGCAGTGGAACGGGGCGCCTCATCGACTATGCCATCATCCTTCCAGACTTTCGGCCGTTACTCAAGCAGATCCGTGGCGAGCATGGGGTACCATGGTCCCCACGCATCGGAATCGTTATAGAGCTATGGGCCCAGCCGTCGACGATCCTTATCCGCAGGCCTATGCTCCCAGCCAAGCGCCCCATGCCCATGACGGAAATACAAAGGGAGAAAGGTATCAAGCGGCAACAACGCGACCGCACCCAGCACGACGAAATTGCTAAGTACCTTGAAGACGACCTCTTGGACAGCAAGCTCCTGGACACGTACTACACGCAGACTGTGGCCATGCGATGCGTCCAGAATATCTGGGATAAGTGCCGAGACGAGGAGGCATCTTGCCGAATCCGAGGCGCGCCGCTGTGGGTGCAGAATTCGATAGCGTACAAGCAGGACCCGCGCATGAGTGAGTTGCTGGGTAAGTTGCATGGCAAGTGGGCGAATGCGGCGGAGCGGGCACTCTCGACCATCACGGAGGCACCGATCCACCCACGAGCGAGACGTGGACAGCCAACACGCTACAAGGAGGTACCATACCCGCAGCACATCGCAGGCAAGCCAAAAGGTAACACTAAAGCGGACGAGCAGCAGCACACCAGCATCCTCTGGACGGCGCTCTATCAGCGTTGCCGAGACGGCGTTCTGCTCCTCCAAAGGCACCCGATAGAGAGCAAGCACCACTTGGACGCTGTCAGCCTCATCATCAAGAATGTAGTCACGCAGATTGACAAGCTTGAAAAGACCAAAGTAGCGGAGACCGACTACCTGGATGAGCAGGTGGCCCTTTTCGCCAAACGCGTCAGCTCCCTCGGCCACGACATCGACCCCGACACGCACGCGGAGAATATCACCGAGTGGCAGGATGCAGCAGCAGCCACAAGACAGCGAATGGATTGGCATGTTTCTCAGATGTGGAAAAAGATTCGCGAGCAATTCGGCCAGTGGGCGAGGACGGCGTTATCAAGTAATACGCGCGATGCTCATAGATACATCAGCAAACATGAACGACGAGATCTACCAGACACTGCCGTGGACCCGATCACCAAGGACGAGACGGGAGCCCTTCGTGAGGCCACGGAGTGCCGAGCAGGAGTCTGGCAAACGCGGTGGCAGAGGCACAACAGCAGCGAGCAGTTGAAAGCGGCCATGGCTGAACTCAAACAAGCAGCTCAAGCCGACTTACTGCATCGAGATTATTACGATATCCAAGATCTGGAAGCAGCGCTATCCAAATTTCGACCGACGACAGCACGTGGCCCAGACCAATGGCAACCACCAGAGATCAAGGTGCTACCTGACGATGCGAAGCGCAGCCTCGTCTTTGTGTTAAACTCATGCGAACGCAACTTATGTTGGCCACATCGTTTTATCACCTTTGGTATCATTTATTGGTCAAAGCTGGTTCTAACACAGCGGGCGAAGAGCGACCCATTGGACTACTACCTTTCCCAGTCAGGCTCTGGGGCAAGATGGCCAAAGCGGAGATGCAAGACTGGCGTTCAGAAAAGGCAGGCTATTGGGGCGCTGCCATTCAGGGGTCATCGGCATTACGAGCAGCACTCCTTATCAATGGCCCTTGATGAAACCAGCGCAAAGCTCAAGGGATCGATCTACGGCACCTTCTACCTTGACCTGGAGAAATTATACGACAGTGTGGACGTCAGCATCTTGATCAGACGTGCTATGCAACTCAATTATCCAGCCGTCAACCTGTACATGAGCCTCCGGATGTACTTATCACCGCGTGTAGTACGAGCCTGTCATGACCACGCTGAACCAATTTGCCCATGGAACGGTATAGTGGCTGGATGTGCTGCAGCGAATCACGCGGCAAGAGCTTTGGTGTACACCATATTGGGCATCACCCACAATGCAGCGCCGCTTGCGTTAGCACGCGAGTTTGTTGACGATCTTCATATACGTGTAGAAGGACGCGCTGAGGAATTCCAGCAGCAGTTCCCCGTCGCAGTCAATACCTTAGTGCAGGCCTGTCTGGATTCCAAGCTAGTAGTCTCGGGGAAATCGGCCCTACTCACGAACTGCATCACCACGAAGAAGCACATCGTGAAGCAGCTCAAGCAGAAAGGAATCAACGTCAAGACACCGAAGTACGTCAACTATTTGGGTATTGATGCAGCTCTGGGTCGCCAACGTACCACGTCTACGCGCACTGCCAGATGCAAGCAGGCTAGACAAAGAGCTAGAAGGGCCAAGATTTTCAGCAAGCAAAAAGGACGTTGGCGACGCAGGACGGCCATGTTATTCAACTCAAACCTTCGGGCGAAACAAAGCTATGATTGGCCTATCGCAGGTCTCAGCCCAGCTGCAGTACGTGACGCACGAGCACAGGCAGCATATATGGCTGGCTTCAGTACTGGTGGCAGGTGTACGTCAACTATCAACGTCATCTTCTACGGCGAGAACGAACCAGCCACAGCATGCCTCCAGCGCCAGATAAAGGAATGGATACAGACATGGCAAAAAGAAGCACCTGCCCATGAGCGCCTACGACAAGGATGGTACGAAAATCTACAGATATTCCAGAAGATGAGACCACGTGGACGTTGGAACTCAGTCACAGGACCCATGGGCGCCCTCATCTTATCCTTACAGCAGCTGGGATAGAAGCCACACCGACCTGATGAATGGGAAGATCCAAGAGGCAATTTGTGGAAGTTCCGAGATGACCAGGCCCTGGACTTTGAGGATATCATGCGTACCATTGCAGCGGACATGGAGGCGCAGATATGGAACAAGGCCGCCGACCACTACTACGGCAAGGGCATGCAGCACGGCATGGACACCACTATGCTCAAGCGCACATTACAGAAGTTACGCAAAGCTGATCGCATACAAGAAGCTGGAGCGCTTGAAGCACTGGCATGTGGAGCAATATGGACGGGGGAGCGGTGCAAAGATGCTGGCTACAAAACTGACGGCAAGTGCCCAAGATGTTCCAAAGCGGCTGACACGATCAAGCACAGGATCTATGAGTGCGAAATGAATGACAACTTGAACATAGAGGCCGTTGTCAAGTCACAGTCGCTGTGCAAGCGTGCACTGGAAGAAATGTATAACGACCCTGACACAGAGGCGTTCTGGCTACGCGGGTTACTTCCCCAACATCGCAACCCAGTCCCATCAGCGCCGGCTTGGGGATCATGGAATGGAAGTTATTGGACAACGGCCACGGCAGGAACCAAAGTATATTCACAGGAGCTGGTCACCATCAACCCCGTATGTTGCGCGATTGCCTTCGTGGGTGGATCAGGCACAAGCAATGACAAGCGTATCAACAGAGTGGGATGGGGACTTACACTTCAGCTACGACAGGGACCGCCAGAACATAGACCAGGACAAGAGCGACTGCGGTGCCAAGACGCACTCTTGCAACAGGGGAACCTCTCTGAGGCTGCTCGGGGCCCGCGCCCGATGGGCGTCCAAGCCACGAGTAGGTCTTCGTATGCCATGTTGGACTTCGGCGAAAACCCCCTGCCCAGAGTGACGGCACACCACAGATGGGGAGCCCTTCGGGTGCTGGTCGGGACCTCCCGCTGGACGCAATACCCACGGATGGATCTTCGTACGCCACGTTGGACTTCGGCGAAAATACCCCAGCAGGTCGCACGGAAATGGGAGGCCAAGTGAAGCAAGTACCGACCGACGAGACCACGGAGCAGCTGCACAAGGATGCGATGAATGACCTCGGAGTCTGGGCAGCGACTTGGACAGTATCCATTGATAACGACGAAGTTCGCAACCACGACAGCTGGAAACTATGGTGCGAGCCGTACATGAAGCAGTTCCTACGCCAACCAGAACAAGCGTGCCTCTTGCAGTTTCTCAAAGCACGGTACCAGACCCGCAGCAGCAGCCAGCTCGCCAAAGATCTATGTGACATCGGATGGGGCACCTCCAAGAGGCGGCGCAAGGATGTATATGACTACTACCTCACGCTACAAGGATGGGAAAAACAAGTTTACGCCCAACACTGGTTTGACAGCGTCGCTGACATTAAAGAGAAGTTTAGACAGCTCCTACTCGACCAGGCACCCACCCTCGAAGAGGAGTTTCCTGAGTATTATGAGGATAGCGATACGGTAATGGACATGACGAACCCAAGCTATGTCACGCACGTCCTCAATGTGAACAATCAGATCGACATCAGCAACGGCGTCATCACAGATACCCACCATATTGGTTTCTACGGCACGGTGGATGGAGAACAGAGTGTACCTGCAGCAGAACACGCGGGATTGTTGTGGGCATTTGCGCTGACGAAAGGGCCGATTACCATCTACACTGACTGCCAGCAAGTTGTGAATGGTTGGACCCAGCGGTTTTACGAACATCCTCAAGGTGCCTTGAAGGAATGGTGGGGACGTACCGGTGCTATGATCAAGAAGCGGCCTGGTGGAGTACATCAGGTGGTTATTATCAAATGTTTATCTCATCTGGACCATGAAGCAATCAAGCAGTCCAAACAAGATTTCCAGATCAGCCTTGGAAATGAAATGGCAGATACTCTTGCGCAACGTGGAGCTGAAGAGGCCATGAACGATATACGTGAGGAGGTCAAGCAGCTTACTGAAGTGGAAACATTGTTGATGCGTGTCCAGCGTCGTGCGGTCGCCATAATCTTCGACATGTGCAAGGACGCGGACCCAACCAAGCTGGGCAGGCCCAAGCAGCAGCGGCACAAAGCTTTCCACTTACGACGTGAGCAGCGCCTCCAGCTACAAGAAGTCTCTGGACATGATATGAAAACAATGAAAGGACGTTGGGTCTGCCAAGAGTGTTGGAAGACTCCAGGCAAGTATAGTCTTTTTGATTGGTTAAGAACCACTGTTTGTATTGGACGGCAGTATGCAGTACACCGAGCTGATCATGGACATGCAGTACAGGTACCCAACAATGAGATGAATGAAATTCAAGATAAAGTGATCCACCCGAGCCACTCGATTTCTGTTGTTCATGGGCAGTTCTGGTGTTGGAATTGTGCAGCGGTGGCGTCACACAATGATGAAGGACATGGTCGGGTATCCCTTCTGGCAGCGAAATGCAGAAAGCAGATCGCGCAGAGTGGCCAGACTGTTCTCCGACGTCTACGCCAAGGGTTACCCCCTAAGGCTGGCCAGAACTGGCCAGATGGCACGGTGCCGCCCAACGGCGGCAGGCTACCACGAGTCGCAGCTGGGCGTCGACAGCGTGTGGCTGCTGAGCGGCGACAGCGTGGGTGAGTACGCGGCTCGGGGCTTCGGCCCCGCAGAGATACTCTGCCCTGGAGAGGCAGTGAGGTGGAGGCCCGCCCTGTCTCTGGGGCTGGCTCGCGACCTCACGGGGCAGCTGCCCCCAGCTGCCCCGCTGATCTACTCTGCCCTGGAGAGGCAGTGAGGTGGAGCTCGCCCTGTCTCTGGGGCTGGCTCGCGACCTCTTGAGAGCCTGCGCAGCGTGCGCGGGCGCAGGGGCCGCGGCGGCGGAGTCGACCGCAGTGCCCTCTGCTCTCGAGTCCTCGAGTCCTCCTCCTCCTCCTCCTCCTCCAGTTGTTTCCTCCCTTCTTTGAAGGCCAAAGAGTCGTTCGTGTCAGCGTCGGCCTGCCCCGTGTGGTTGGTTGTGGCAGGTCCTGAAGAGGATGGCCAACCACACGCCGAAACGCTGGCGGCGAACTGGACCCGGGGTGCCCGAATAGTTGAGCATACTCAGTCCGAGACCAGATATGAGCATTTGTGTTGACTTATGTTGCACTCATTTTGATATGCCTGGCAAATGACGGGTTATCAGCCGAGGCTCTCCAGGAGCTCGTCATCCTCGTTTTCGGTCAGCAGCCACAGCCTTTTTCCCATCAGCCAGAGTAGTATCAGTGGTCGCTTTACCACAGAGGGGGCTTCGCACGTACGCTCTGATTGTGGTGCCCGTGAACCGGGATACGAAGTTGGCTCCGCCGTCCTGTGCTCCAGTCAGTGCTCTGGTCACGGGGGCGGGGGGTCACAAGGAAAAAGGGGGGCATCACCGGCCTAGCCGCCAGGTGCCGACGGTGTCACGAAAGAGGAGGCAGTTGTTTGCTCCCTTTTTTGAAGGCCAAAAAGTCGTTCGTGTCAGCGTCGGCCTGCCCCGTGTGGTTGGTTGTGGCAGGTCCTGAAAAGGATGGCCAACCACACGCCGAAACGCTGGTGGCGAACTGGACCGGGGTGCCCGAGTACTTGGGCATACTCAGTCCGAGACCAGATATGAGCATTTGTGTTGACTTATGTTGCACTCATTTTGATATGCCTGGCAAATGACGCCTCCTCCTCCTCCTCTTCCTCCTCCTCCTCGTCCTCCTCGGGTCGCCTACGGCCCGGGGGGAAACCGTGCAGCCTCATCCACTGTCTCCACAGCTCGTTGCTATTTGACCGTGCGGCCAGCAGCACCGTACCCTCTGCACCTGGGACGTGATCCGCTGGCCGTGTGCCGCCATGCCTGACGCGTTCCAAGCTCTGGCTGCGCTGCGTTCCGCCCAGCGTGTCCAACGCGCGCCGAGCTTTCCCGGCTCGGTGGCCCGAGGCGGGCGGCGGATGTGAGCTCGCCCACGAACTGCGTCGCCTCGTCAAGGTACTACTCGGTGTGCTGCCTGGACGAGTGCGAGGGGCTGTTCTCGCACCTGGAGCAGAGCATCGGGGCGCCCGAGGCCACCCAGGAGCAGATCGCGGAGCTGGTGGCCGCTCTCCCCTCGGCAACCGCACCGGCGAACCGCACCCTCTCGGCAGGGCTGGTGCGCAAACTCGACGAGATAGCCCAGCACCACGGCAACATGATCCCTCTGCACGGGCGCCTCTTCAAGCAGTGGATGCACGTGGCGCGTTCAGCTTCTGCCAGCCGCGCGATCGCCGATCGCGGCTGAGGTTCATCGCCGATCGTCCTCCGTGGGCCCTGCGTGGGCCTGTTGAGACACTCGGCCTGCTGGTAAGGGGTCGCATCCCGCGCGAGATGTCGAGTGCCAACGGCCAGCTACGTCCAAGATGGTCGGTGATCTCAAGAGCTGTACTATTACGATCGCCCACGCGAGAGGCTCGGCCTGACCACGCGTTTGCCTGGTTTCGATCGCGCGGTCGTCTTGCTGTCCGGGCGGTTACCGTCGCGATTGGGGCCGAGATCCGGTGGTGTGTGCCAGGACAGGCAGCAGGCTGACAGGCAACAGCAGGCAGGCCACGCGGCTGGCTGCCAGTCAGACGAGCAGGCAGGTTGCAAGCTGGCAGTCGGCTGTCGGGCAGGCCAGCAACCTGAGCGCAGCAGCTGGCCACCAGGCAAGCAGTCCAGCAGGTAACGAAGGGAGAGACAGGCGCACCAGCGGGCAGCAAGCTGCTGAGCTGCCGGCGGCTGTCGTGCGGTAGGCCGGGCGCTCAGGTCGCATACCCGCGCGAGTGCTCCTTCCCGCACGTCACGGGGACGACAAGCCCTCAGCGGGCGGTCGACTGGATGGCGACTACGGGCCAGGAGATCGCGGCCACCACAGAGGACATGCCCTGGGCCGATTCCAATGGGAGGGTCAGGAGGGAGCAAACACAAAGACGCAAATACGCAAATACACATGGAACATACAGGAAGTGGTGGGAGCACGGACATCTAAAACATATACAAGACTAGTGGGAGTCCTGGGATTTATGCTTTCGGTTATCGGTGTGCACCTGGATCCCTTCAGAGGGGTCCAGGCCAAGGGGGTGGTGTGGCACTGGACCCCTCGGAGGGCTGCCTCGGGGCCTGGATTCCTCTTACTCACCGTTGGGCATTCTTGGGAGCACCAATGGTGGATATCGCATGTATAATATACAATTATACATGGTATATACATGTATAATTGTATATTATACATATATATATGTATGTATGGACATCGGTTTATATGTATATATATATATATATATATATATATATATATATATATAAATGTATTTATAATGTGTGTATAATTGTATGCACATGGATGTATGTATATTGTACGTGTATATATATATATATCCGTATGTATACTTGTATGCATATATACGTATATATGTATACACAGGTACGTAGGTGCATGTATCAATTATATATACACATAAGTACATACACACACCTGTCGCCGCGCCGCTTATTCCGCCTTTCGGCCTTGCGTTTTTGAGAGGGCGCCATGGCCACCAGGGCAAACTCCGCCTCCGGCGCAGGGTTTGCCGTGGGGTTTGTCTCTGTGTCGGCGTCGTCCATTTGGGCACCTCGAAAACAAACGGCGCGGCGACATGTGCGGTAGGCACATACGGCAAGAGAATTTGCTAGTAGACATCTTGGGGCACATTAGTCTTCGTCGACCCTGCGCGGGTCATGAGGTGCACCAGAGTTTCTGTATGCCCCTGGGGCCCTCGGGGGATATCAACTTTCCGTTGGGCACCTGCTGGCAAATGTGACTCGTGCTCCTTACGTTTCGCGTATGCACACCTGCCCATTCAGAAACGCTGCCGTCGAGATCCTGAAGCGCTGGGCGAGTTGCCTTCATTCCTTACGGGAATTTGTAGGAGCGTGCAGTGGAGCAGCTGCCCAGAGAGGTACGAGGAGGAGAAGGAGGAAGAGGACGAGGAGGAGGAGGAGTTGGAGGGGGAGCAGAAGGACGAGCACGGGAGGAGGAGGAGGAGGAGGAGGAGGAGCAGGAGAAGGAGGAGGGGGAGGAGGAGGAGGAGGAGGAGGAGGAGGAGGAGGAGGAGGAGCACGGGAGGAGGAGGAGGAGGAGGAGGAGGAGGAGGAAGAAAACGTGCCCGCTGTAACAAGGCGGCGCAGAGCTGCGCTGCGCTCTCGATCCTCAGCCGCCACCCGTTTTCTCGCGGGCGTGAGGGGCCCGCACGGGCCCAGCACGCGCAGGAAGGCTTGACTCGAGGGGCGCGCGCCCCTTCCGCCGGCCCCCCCCCCCAAGGGAGGAGAGGTGCGGCTTCGGCCCCCGCACGTTTTGCTCGACACTTCCCGACGTGCAGCCTGCGTGCAGGTGTTGCTGACGCGTCTACGGTCAACCCGCAGAGTAGGGATGGGGAACCTTTCCAAGGGTACCCTTGCATCCTTGCCTCCTCGTTACGTCCCTTGCAACCTTGCGTCCTCGTTACGTCCTTGGCCACTTTCGTTGGCCGCCCCGCGCTCGGAAAGCTTCGGAATATGCGGGGAAGGCCCTTGCATCCTTATCGCGCATCCTTACTATACGGGTTGACTGTATCTCTTCCTCCGCCGCGCCTGTTTGGCGGGCTTCCAGGGGGTGTCCTGGAGGCCCAGGTAGCGCGGCCTCTTGGAGTCTTTCCAGCAAGTTCTTGGAGGGTTTTTGTTGGGGCGGGCTGCTTGGGGGCCTCTCGATGGGTATCGGGGGCATGTTGGAGTTTTTGGTGGGGCAATATTGTGGGGAAGGGCTCTCTTGCAAGTTTTGGGGGCCATCTTGTGATTTTTGGGCCATCTTGTGGGTCCCTGCAATTGCCTCCCTTTGGGCCTCTCTTGGGCACCTCTTGGCGGCTTTGCTTGCCGTCTAGGGGAGGCCTCTTGTGCCGCCTTCGGGCCCTTTTGCGCCGTCTCCGAGCCCTCGTTGGTGCCCCCGAGGGGGTCATCGGTCCTTCCTGGGGGGCCTATCGGACCGTATTGGATGTTCAGACGCCCGACAAGGGTCTTAAGCAGATGGATGGGGAATCATTGGATTCTGCTCTGTGAGGCCCTTTTTAGGGGGTCCCCTTGGGGCCCTCTTGGGGCGCGCTCCCGAGGGAGATTGGGCCATCTTGAGGCCATCTTAGGTGTTCTTGAAGCCTGTCCTGTGCGTTGCAGCCCCTTTGGAGCCTGGAGCACTCTCACACGCATCTCGGGCTTCTTGGCGCCTGGATCCGGAGGCTCCAAGGGTCCTGGAGGTGCGTTGACGAGCTCGTGCCCCCGTCCCCCCTCTGACGGGCCGTTCAAGCCCAGGAGCGGGGAAAGGGGGAAGTCTGGCAGTCGATCATCTCACACACCGCCATTTCGCTTCAAGCATGTGGGGGTCGGCAGACTTCAAGGCGGTGGAGAGACATGCAGGCGACGCAACGGCAACCGCATGCAACCAGCCGAAACTGGGAACATCCAGGAGGGTGTTGCGAGGGGCCGATGTCGGCCCTTCAGAGCAAGCATGTGCCGAAGCCGAAGTACGGAGACTGCGCGAGAGATGCCGCACACAAGGTCTGGACGCTTTGCGTGGCCCCGCGAATCTATGAAGCACATACGTCCTCAGGCGGGTCGCCGTCAGCTGGGATTGGAGGAGCATCGGCGGAACACAGGGGGACACAAGCCACACCTTAGGGGTCAGCCCAAGCAGCCTCGAGAATTGCCACAACTTTTAGTAGTCGTAGTAGAAGTAGTAGTAGTAGTAGTAGTAGTCGTAGTAGTAGTAGTAGTAGTAGTAGTAGTAGTAGTAGTAGTAGCAGTAGCAGTAGCAGTAGCAGTAGTAGTAGTAGTAGTAGTAGTAATAGTAGTAGTAGTAGTAGTATTATAGTAGTCGTAGTCGTAGTCGTAGTCGTAGTCGTAGTCTAGTAGTAGTAGTAGTAGTAGTTATAGTAGTAGTAGTCGTAGTCGTCGTCGTAGTCTCGTTGTCGTTGTCGTAGTCGTAGTCGTAGTAGTAGTCGTAGTCGTAGTCGTAGTCGTAGTAATAGTAGTAGTAGTAGTAGTAGTAGTAGTAGTAGTAGTAGTAGTAGTCGTTAAAAGTAGTAGTAGTAGCAGCAGCAGCAGCAGCAGTAGTAGTAGTAGTAGTAGTAGTAGTAGTAGAAGTAGTGGTAGTAGTAGTAGTAGTAGCAGTAGTAGTAGTAGTAGTAGTCGTAGTCGTAGTCGTAGTCGTAGTCGTAGTCGTTGTCGTTGTCGTTGTCGATTGTCGGTCGTAGTAGTTAGTAGTGGTTTAGAAGTCGTAACCAGTAGTAGTAGTAGTAGGTAGTAGTTGTAGTGTAGTTAGTAGTCGTAGTAGTAGTAGTAGTTGGTAGTGGTAGTAGTAGTAGTAGTTAGTAGTAGTAGTGGTGTGGTAGTGGTAGTGGTAGTGGTTAGTAGTAGGTAGTAGTAGTAGTAGTAGTAGTAGTAGTAGTTAGTAGTAGTAGTAGTAACAGTTATATAGTAACAGTAGTAGTAGTAGTAGTATTAGTTAGTAGTTAAGTAGTAGTAGTTAGTAGTAGTAGTAGGGGGGTTTTTTTAGTAGAAATAGATGGTGTAGTAGTTGTAGTTGTAGTTGCAGTAGTTATAGTAGTAGTAGTAGTAGAGTAGTAGTAGTAGTAGTCGTAGCAGTAGTAGTAGTCGTAGCAGTAGGTAGTAGTAGTGAGTAGTAGTATTATAGTACGTCGTAGTGTAGTTGAGTAGTCGTTTAGTCGTTAAGTCGTAGTCGTAGTCGTAGCTAGTATAGTAGTTACTAGTAGTACTAGTAGTACTAGTAGTTAGTAGCAGTGTAGTAGCAGTTGAGCAGTAGTAGTAGTAGTAGTAGTAGTAGTAGTAGTAGTAGTAGTCGTAGTCGTAGTCGTAGTCGTAGTAGTAGTAGTAGTAGTAGTAGTAGTAGTAGTAGTAGTAGTAGTAGTAGTAGTAGTGGTAGTAGTAGTAGTAGTAGTAGTCGTAGTAGGGGTGCACCTGGTCTTCGTGTCGCTACAAACCTCACATTCGTGTACTCTTCTTGTGTATCAGGCCTCATAGAACTCCTACCAGGGGGATGACGAAAACCGTAGTTTCAAACCTGGCCTTCGTGTCTTTCGCGCCAATGCCTACCTTCGTGCACTATTCGCTGTAGGTGAACAAAATTAGCCTGGCGAAGGACCCAACCATATGCAGTTGAGAGTACCGCAATTGTGAATATCTTCTTCGGTGGCGCTCCCTATGGGGCCACGAGCCGTATGAGGGGTGTGCCGAAATGCGTGGCAGTGTACACAACACGAACGAAGACGATAGGTCCGAATATGAAAGCTTGAGCGCGTGCGAGTCGGATCGCGAGCGAGTCTGATTATGAATGAATCTGCGCGCGATTGATTCTATTCGCATGAATGCGTGCATGGATACGCCCAGTGTAAATGTATGTATACGACTGTGAACAGTTTGGGTCTGCGTGACTCTCGGTACTCGTGACTCTGAGCGTCGCCTCTGCAGGGGGCTTCCCTGGGAACCCCGACGGCAGCGCCCGCGCGCCGCGACGCCCATGTCGGCACGCCACACACCTGGTGTGCGGGACGCATGCGGACGGCAGCACTGGGGCCTTCGGTGGAGCTCCCTGTGGGGCCACGAAACGTGTGAGGGGTGTGCCGAAATGGGTGTGCGGGACGCATGCGGACGGCAGCCATGGGGCCTTCGGTGAAGCTCCCTATGGGGCCACGAAACGTGTGAGGGGTGTGCCGAAATGGGTGTGCGGGACGCATGCGGACGGCAGCACTGGGGCCTTCGGTGGAGCTCCCTGTGGGGCCACGAAACGTGTGAGGGGTGTGCCGAAATGGGTGTGCGGGACGCATGCGGACGGCAGCCATGGGGCCTTCGGTGGA